GCAGAAAAATATCAGAGAGCCACGTGAGTCTAGCGATCCACTCACCATCGGAACCTGAATCCGCTATCTCATGTTCTTGGAATGTTAAAAACACTTGAACCTCGTCTCGTAGATCAAAAACTCGAGTTACTCTCTATCTCCTTCTTCATGTACCTACTCTGTTGGGCTATATGGTGCTAATCCCTATCTCCGAACCTAGGTACCAGAGTACGTACCTGAAGACGGAAATAGAGCCCCATCTCCGAAACGTCGTTTCAATTTTGTTGTGTATTTTATTAATTTAGACGATGGAAAATATACAAAGAACTTTTTGTTTGGATGACTCACCATCGTCACGAAGTTTTAGATCTGAGACTTTACGTGTTCCTGCTAACCTTGAAATGTTTTTCTTGTTCGAACCTCGTGTTTCGGCATGAATATAACCGTGTTCAGATCTATACATAAATTCTAGCACTGCTTCTTTCAACATAAATTGTTCTCTTTTCATATTTATTTATTTATTTAGAACTTAAATCTTTTAGAGGTTATAACCGATCACCTCTCGGTTTGCTCAGCTAGCTCATGGGACTTCAGGGCCGCTTACGGTGATCACACACACGTATGAACCAACAACTGCGTCGAAATCGATGAATCTTTAATACGACTCCTTTCTAGAAGAGACTTCACACAGTCTCGATCGTGAGAAACTCGACCACGGCTTGCTCACGCAACCCTCATTAAAAGAACAACTAGAATACTCAATTGTAAACAAATGCTAGATACGAAGAACAACTGATACAGAGTAACACTGGTCGAACGCTCGTGAGAAAATTTCTTTTCCCCCAAGACTCGAACCAGCGAGCATTCCGTATCGCCGCTGCTTCGGTCCGAAGCACCGAAGCAACGAGGCACATTGAGTTTATGTGTGATGACGTCATCTAGACGCAGGTGTCCATTCGATTCCTGCCTTCAGTAGCAGTCAGTTCTCGTTGGACTTTGGTCGTTGTCGGGTGTACAGTGAAATCTGAAGTGTATCTCGAACCTCGTTTTACCTGATTTATTAATACGGGATTTTAAATCTGTGTTTAATATGTGTAATGGATGAGGAATTTAGTCTGTTGAGTAGTTTGTTGTTTTTCCTACTGGCCCACTGTGTTGTCTTCTTTGTGGTTTCCAGTAAATTATTCAAAGGTGGCAGCACAATATGTGCTGTGATACGCTTCTTTGACTCATGTCGGTAGGCAGAAGATGACCTTGAGAGGATTGGCCATGAAATACTGCGTTGGTAAAATGGCAGCTCTCAGAATCCTAGGAATATAAGGTGGAATAATATAAGAGCGGATTGTGTTTCACCTGTCATTCTTGTAGGAATCATATAAGATAATTACAATTTTGCAAAATCTTTGCAGTTTCATTACATTGTTTGTATATTTATAAGAAATTGTGAAATATAATTTTGGATAGAAAGTTGGATCACGTGTTGGGAAAGTTGTGGCGGGAAGTGTTGCACCAAAGCCTGTCAAGAGACCAGCTACAGTAGGAGGTGTTGTACCACCAAAGAAGACACAGCAGAAAATAACAACTTGGTTGTGTTCCAGCGGAAAGAGATCTTAGTCAAGAAGAAGTTGATGAAAGGGCATCTGCTATCTTCTCTGAAGTCTGGGTCAGGTCTGGTGATGGGGACTGGAGAACTCGTCTGCCAGCTGTGGAACAGTTATTGCTTATATTCACGTGTCAAACGCATTGGTGGACCCCACTTAATGGTACCTGCACCTTGTCGTGGTGGTGGGGCTTGAGTACCTCAGTGATCCCAAGAGCTATGCTGGCGGTAGCATAGCTACTGGTAGGGCCTCCCAAGCCAGATTGGTCCAGGGGGAGAGGTCAGACTAAGACAGGTACCCTGGTCCTCCAGGTTGGGGGTTGGTCGCAAGGCTAACAACCTTGCACCGTAAAAATAAAGATGTTTCAAAACCTAACCTAGAGATGTATTTTTTTGTAATTAGGCTTGTGATGTTTATTTACTTCATTTATTGTGTCAGTGTGTGGAAGAAATGTATCCTGAAATTTCAACTCAAGTTATAATCAGAACACTGAATAAGGAGCCTGATTTAAAGGAAGACAACTCCCAAGTTCTGAAAGCTCGGCTTGAAGCTGAGAAGCTGCTGGCAGAAAATGCTGAATTTACAAGGTTTTTATTTCATTTTGTATGATAATATAATTCAAATTGTATACAAATATTACATGTCAGCAATGTCGGGGAAGGAAGACGGTATAAAAGTTTATCTTAAAGAGGTAGAATGTGAGAATACAGACTCGGTTAATTTGGTTTGGGTCGTGGTCCGATTGTGGGGCTCTTGTGAACATGGTAATGAATTATTGTAAAGCTGGGTAATTTTTTAACTCGTTGAGTGCCTGATAGCCTCTGCTTTATGGAGTGTATTATCATGTGCTTTTTATTGAAAATATAAGGGCAAATTCCTCGAGCTTGCTGTAAGGTAGAATTTGTTTGTAACATTCAAGCTTATGGTTTTAAATGTTGCAGCATACTGTTAGTGACAGAATATTTGAATTCTTATGTCTTTTAGACTGCTGTCAGGTGTGGTTGTGGCAAGGAGTCTTGGAATTTGACTTTTTATGCGCCCCTCCTGCCATTCACTGATGAATATGTCCAGTTCAGGAGAAACTGTATTGACTGATTGTTCTTTAATTCTATGCCAACTGCACCAGATGTCGCAACCAAGCGCTTAGCACCATTGCTTCAAATTTGGGAGGTTTTGTGGTTTTACTCAGTCCCTCCAGGCAGATGCCGCTATATCATCTTAAATTAGGCCTGAAATTCTCTCCAATTCATTATTTGTCGATTGCCTTATCATCAAGAGCTGTACAGTTTGTATTTCTGTAATCTATTGATAGTTAACGAATAACCAGCGTAATCGACTCGACTAGTTCCACAGATTGAGATTAATTTTTCCAGTACTGACCTGAAGTATTGCAGCGAAGTTTGGAGATGTTGAGAATGCTGAATTGGAACTGGTGACGAAGATTGCGTGCACTCAGAACAGCCCCGAGTTACCGCAGCAAGCACTGACATCAGAGAATTTGGATTAGAAAGGTTGGCAATCTGTTGTGTATAGCTGTATTAAACGTATTTCAGTGTTGGTCGTCTAGTTTGTAGCATCAATGCTTCAGAGGAACATACTGCCTCCATCTTCACTTCAGCCCTGTACAAGTCTTCATGGCATTACACCCCTGAAGACCAACAACAACAAAAAACTGTTGCTTGTAAAACATTCTTCGTTAACACGCGTGCGCACGTGATGCCGTTTCAAATTTGCAGGCTGGTATAAATTACGCTGTGGACTCCATCACTGTTTTGTACTATAAGTTGCTTTAATTTTTATTTCTGACAAATTTCTTTCAATGTTGAGCCAAACCCTGAAATGGACAATGTGAAGACGGCAGTGAGAGCTGTTGCCATGAATTTAATAGGAACTGTGTACCTGTACTTAGGATCGCGGCTATCGGCGTTCTTCGAAGATGAGAATCCACAGTTACGGCAGCAGACTCAAGCAGAATTTGATAACGTAAACAGAATTCATTTCATTTTTTGTGATCTGTAACTTGGTTGTGTTTTCGATGTGGCACGTGTGAAATCACATTGTACATTTTGGGTCAAGACAAAGATTTCATTTTTGTTCTCTCCGTAGATGTTTTGTGGCCACATTTTAAAGTTAACAAAGTGCTGTAAAATTCTGTTGTAAGAGGTGGAATTTTTCGTCCACATGTAATTAAAAGAAGTCGGACGTCATTCCGCATGTTTAGAAATAAAATTGGGAGCAGTTTAAAAGGAGTCGCTGACGTTGAGATGTGAGCTCTGAATTCTGTTTTGTACGTGAAAAGTTGGTAAATTAGCATAACCAGCGCACAAAGTACACCATACAGAATGCAACCGAACCCAACAAGGTACTTAGTTTTCCTGTCCCTCCAAGTGAATTGTGGGATAGCACCTTAAATTTGGCCATGACCACTTCCTTCCACATCCTCTCATTTGACGCTTATAATCCGAGATACTGAAAGAGTCGTTAAATAAACTGTAAATCAGGTCATTCTTTATCCTCCTCCAAACTCTTCTCTTATGTCCCTGCTTACTTGTCGCCCCAGAGGTTAGTTTTTTCAACACTCGCATTGGGTATAATAGCATGAAGATTATTGAATTGCATTGCCGCCAATTTTTGTGATGAGTGCTTTCTGTTTCCTATGTCTTTTGGTCCAGGATAATGTGATATATTAATTTATTTATTTTAAATTTTAGATTGGATTGTTCCTTACGGTAATCTACTTTGTCCCCTTGTACAGTAACCATTAGAAGTCTTCCCAAAACATTTACTATTCAATGCTAATAAAAGAAACACTTTGAAAGAGGAAGAGCTAATTTTGAATGCTTTCACTTTCCTTCCAAATTATCCAAGTGATAATCACAAACACTTTAAATATTATAGTTAAACTAGTTTGTGTAAGCTTGCATTAAGCCAGATTTATTTGGAAATTTAAAAAGTAGTAAATTTGTATTTTGTAACTTTTTCTGCTTTAATTCCTGAGATAGCTTAAGAATGCAAATTGCAGTGTGAAATGGAAGACATTATGTTACAGTTAAACTGTGTAAAGGATATATAAACTAGTGACAAAAACTACCATCTTTTTTGTATCCAGGAGCGGAAGAAGGCGTTGCAGGCGGTGGCAAATATTTTGCATGACAATAAATTGATATCAAACAACTTGGGCAATGAAACAAGAAACCACATTACATTACCAGCTGTAGAAAAGTTTGTCCTGACACAAACGAGATCGTAGACCAGTAGCAGGAGAATGTTTATGTCTGGGCTAGCATTCAAATTTATGATTTTGAGTTCAGTTTCTCTATCTGTGACATCATTATCAGTTATTACCATGAAGAGAGTTTAGTATAAATTGGCAGCATAATAATCTCGGAAATGCAGTTAAAATTCTGATAATGTAAGGAACTTTCACTGTGTCAAAGATTGTATTTAAAGACTTCTAAAGAAACTATTGACCCATTTCAGCCTGAGATCCGTTCTGCTGCAACGGATTGTGTCAATGCTTGGGGTCAGCAGTGCGGATTTAAGGAGTTCTTTCGTGGTAATATGATTGAATATGCCCTTAAGAGAGGAAGCCCAACCCTGCGAATAGAACTTTGGGCATGGCTTACAGAAATACTTGCCACATGTAAGTATATAAAATTGAATATCTGGACATTGTATTCACGATAATGAGTCAGACGCATGTTCAGGTACATCAGATGCTTTTACAGATAGTTACATGTGGAACTGGGATAGCTCAGTCTGACTGGCTTTGGGCTTGGCAACTAGGGTTTGATTACCATGCCCACTCCTCTACCTCAGAAATAAAGTGGCCAGGAATGACGCTAACTACTCACATCCATCTGCTGCCATGGAATGAGTGGTGTTTAATTAAGTATCAGGGATGTGTTGATTTTAATTTTAGTTTCAAAATATAGTCGCTTTGTGGAGGCCTGGGTTTACTCCCAGTGCAGTCCATGTGGGATTTGTGGACAAAGTGGTACTGGGACGGATTTGTCTGAGGCTGGCTCTGGGGTCCACCCTACCTCCTATTAGATGGGTTTCAGGTGGTCCTTTCCCTGGAGTTAAAGTGTGGTGCCGACCTCTCACCCCCATCTAGTGCTGAGGTCAAGAATGAGTAGGAGTTATACCTCATCTGGTCGCCACAAGGACCTTCAAAACTTGCCTCTGTGGTGGCTTTACTTTCTGCAGTACAACTGATCTTTATTTGGTCTCAGTATGAGATCAATTTTGTGACATTAAAGGTGACTAATTTGAAGCTGATTTATTTTTTCAGTGCCACCCAGGTCTATCCCCAAGAGAAAATTGGTGACGTATCTGCCACACTTGTATGCAGATTTGGAGTATCGTAATGCAAATGTGAGGAAAAATGCCGAGGAGGCTATCGTTCCATTTATGATACGCTTGGGACATGAGACAATGGCCGAAGCCTCAGAGGAATTGAAAGCAAGTGTTTGTGACAATTAAATATTTTACTCTAAGATCTGTTTATCCATTCTGACTTTGTGGAAGTTCTTGCGAAAGTTTTGCCAGACCTAGTTGCAGATTGACATTTGAGAAGCAAGTGTGCGTTTGCTGAGCGCTTGAGTGGTGATTAGGCTTATGTTAATTTTATTACTTTGTTAAATTGCCAAATATGTACAGTCAAACCTCGGTTTACGAACTTAATTCGTTCCTGAAGGTCATTCGCAAACCGAAATGTTCGTAAGCCGAAACTGTTTTCCCCATAGGAATTAATATAAAATGGATTAATCCGTTCCTGGACCCCAGATGATTGCTTATTTAAAATTTTACAACAGTACTTTGTTCTTAACACAAAATCAATGGAAACCATTAAATCTATCACAAAAAAGATAATCACAACACTAAGCAGATCAAATATAGATGAAAACGTAATTTAGTTATGGAGGAGAGTTGACGGCGTAAGTGGAAGGTGGTGAGGAAGTGAAATGTTATTGTTTGGAAGGGGATTCTTTTTCTTTTTTCTGTCTCTTGGCACCACTCGACTCTGCATCAGACTCACTGGGCCTCTGTCTCACTAAAATTTAAAATTTTACAACAGTACTTTGTTCTTAACACAAAATCAATGGAAACCATTAAATCTATCACAAAAGAGATAAATACTACACTAAGCAGATCAAATATAGACGAAAACTTAATTTAGTTTTACCGTACCTGTATGGAGGAGAGTTGACGGCGTAAGTGGAAGTGAAATGTTATTGTTTGGAAGGGGATTCTTTTTCTTTTTTCTGTCTCTTGGCACCACTCGACTCTGCATCAGACTCACTGGGCCTCTGTCTCACTAAAAAGTTGTCCAGTGTGATTTGTTTTTGTCTACGTTTTAAAATGTTTCTAAAGTGACACATGGCATTATCATTGAAAATGTTTATGCTGCGGCTTGCTACTGCTTTATCGGG